GGACCAGGGTCGCGGGTGTGGCCACCTCACGGCCCTCTAGGAGCGTGTAGAGAGTGAGGCGGTACTTGGTGCCCGGCCGCAGCCCATCCAGCTGGTAGCGGGTCACGTCCGAGGGCAGCACCACCTTCTGAGGGGGCTCCACACCTGCAAGATGACAGGGTCAGGCCAGCCGAGACAGGCCCTGCCCCTGCCCACACTGCTGCCCCTGCACTGACCACTCTCACGCTGCCACTCCAGCCGGTAGCCACGGGCCTCAGGCACCAAGTTCCAGGAAAGGAGGATGGAGGTGGGGCCCAGGATGACGGGGCGCAGGGACTGCTGGACGACAGTGTCTGCCAGGGCACACGGGACATCAGTGGCCTCTGCAGCCTGCCCTGCCTGCCCACCCCAGCCTGAATGACGTGCCCAGCCTCCTCACCAGTGCGGGCAGTCAGGGACGTGGCAGGCCCCACACTACGGCCAATCAGGGTGCTCACGGTCACCTCGTAGTCTGTACCGGGCTCCAGGTCACGCAGCCACAGCGACCCCTGCCCGGGGCCCAGCTCCTGCTGCTGGGTAGCTCTGCCTGCATGGGGTCCAGAGGGTCAGTGAGCTGTGCAGGCTCAGGGCTCCACGAGCTCGTCAGGGGTGCCTGCGCCTCTCACTCACCACTGAGCGCCCGCCAGGTCACGCGGTAGCCCGTGGCACCGGGCACCCTCCTCCAGGCCACCAGGAGGCTCTGGGCTGTGGTGTTCTGGACAGTGAGCTCTGGCCCGTCCAAGGCGGCTGAGGAAGACCCCACCAGAGGTTAGCAGATCGGAAGTGGGGCAGGGTGGCTGGGCGGGGCTTAGGTGAATGGGGTCAGAGGTCAGCAGACTGCTCACTGGTCCGAGCTGTCCCGCTCACGGCCTCCCCAATGCTGTTGGCGTAGAGGGCAACCACGGTCACTTGGTACTCGGTCAGCGGCCGGAGACCCTGCAGCCGAACGCTGGTCTCGCCAGCTGGGACGTTCACCTGCCCGGGGTCAGAGGTCACCTCATCTGGCCCAGCCAAGTGCCCCGCCCCCACCTATCATTCCTGTCACCCTACCTCTCGCCGCTCGCCCGGCAGTGGCTGGCCCAGCCCCGTC